GGAAGCATTTGTGCCATAACTTAGTATTTACTAATTTGAGTTTAATTTTAGTTGAATTTTACAACGTGCTAGTTCTACATCTTGTTTTTTAAGTTTATATTTGATTAAAAAAAGTTTGATTATTAGAAATTATATACATTAAAATTTTTAATCTGAATTTTGATTTCTTTTAATGTATGATTATCAGTCGATATTTTGCTCTTCATTAAAATCGTACGGTCGTCTCGAATTGGAATTTTTCAAAATTTAGAGATCGTGTTTTAAAACAGGACTTTAAATTTTTATAAAGTCTTGTTTCATGACATTTTTACGAAGCGCGATTAATGCCTTGTTTTAAGGATGTATACTATAATTCTTATTTATTGGAGTTTAAAAGGAAATTTACATAAAAAAATTTTTTTTAATAAAATATCAGCACAGAATATATCAGCGCATCAATATCAGCGCATCGATTTTCAAATATTGTTCTTACTTTTAAGGATTCATTTGATTGCATTGATTGTATTTTTTTAGTTGGAAGGCGAGAAAATTTACGATGCTTTCAAGAAATAAATATTACGAAAAAAACTACAACATCTCGCCTTTACAGAAAAAATTACTTTTATTACTTAGCTGTGAAGGTTTTTTGTAAAAAAAAATACAATGTACAATTTTTTTGTTTTGTATTTTTAACTTCTCTCGACAAATTAATAAAATTATCTTAATTATCGAGTTTATTGCCCATGTATAAAGCAAACTAATGTCTCAAGAACATATACTTTTTCGAGTCATTTATAGTCGTTGAAATTTTAAGTTTTATCAAGATATGAAAACAGATATTATGCGAGTATGAAGTATTACTATATGCAAAAGAAAATGGAAATTTTACATAAAAAAAAGAGCAATGCATATGTTTTATGACTGAGTCTCCAATTTAAAAAAAATCTTGAAACAGTTTAAATACCTCCTCTCCGGAATGCCATACTCGATAGAATCCTTGTCATGGACTTTATCCATGCTGTACAGTTTTGCAATCATTTCCTCAGTAAAATAACTGGACACCTTTTCATCACTGTCACTAAGAAGAAAATGAATTATGAAATTTAACGTAGTAATTTTGCTACATAAATTTTTTATTGAAAAGGATATGTTTTGTAATTGTTTTTAGATTTTGAAACACAACCAATTGTTTCATGACTTCATTCATGTTTAGTGGCACATTAGATCTTTCTGATTTAGTATGTTTTGGTTCTATCCCATGTAAGGGCATCGTTCCTAAGTTTTGCAGTTTTGTTATTATTTTTATTTTTTGAGATAACACAGAGATGGTTTTACAATTTCAATTCAGAATGATTTACACCAGTCACTTGCATGTTCCATAATAATGCGCATCGAATAATTATTATGCGTCATTTTAGGTAAATTTATCATGAATTTTTCCCAACATTGAGTCATTTTATAAAAATAAAATTTATACGAACTAAAAATATAACGGAAAAGTCAATTTCTTCCAATTTTAATCTTTAAAATATTTTTTTTAAGTAATACGAATAATATTCAAGATGTGTTACAATTAAGTTAGCAATACAAATATTTTTGCCAAAAACATTACCACGTAATTAAAGGATATAAAAATTAATCTACCTTTTCATTTCAACCACCAGATCTTCGTCATTCATATTCTCTCCATCAAATTTATAATCCATCTCATTCTTGAACTCCAATATCATTCTCTCTCTAAAAAAGAAATAATTCTCATAGAGTTTTTTCAAGCTCTAGCTATAAATTAAGTTATGGAATATGACACAAAAGCGTTGGTTTCTCTTAATAAAATAAACATTCGTTTCATTCAATGCATTTGGATTTTTGACTTTCAAAAAAGTAAGAACAAGTAACTGAAATAAGGTTTTGCATGGTTTAGTCAGGAGAGTTGTCTGAAATTTCGACACTTTTGTTGCGTTTTACTTTTTGTTAATTTCTCTTTTTAAAATAATTTGGGAAACATTATTAAAAATAATAACTTTTTAATATACCTTTCATCAAACTCATCTTCGTCTTCCTCAGACATAACCTCTGCCTCTATCTCAATCATATCCTCATCACTTTCAATGCTAAAGATATAAAATAAAACAATTTTTTTAATTCAAAAGTCAAAAATAGAAATTTTTAAGAAAACAAGTTTTTTTAATCTAATATTTATGTTATATAAGTTTAGTACAATATTTTCAAACATGGACTTTGTAACAACAGCTTATAAGTTCATTCTAAGCAACAAAACATTTGCTTGCTAAGAATTATGCTGTTTTCAGATTATACTTAAAACAATGATTTCATTTTTAACGAAATTATCACGGGCATCGGTAATTTCCATATTCTTTGGGTAGCAGAGCTTTCAGTAAAACTTAGAGCAATATTCATGCTGTGCATGATATATGTTGTGCATTATATATGCAAAATGTATCTAAAAGTAATATTTATGCATATTTTTAACAATAAAATAGTTGTCCT